CCCCCAGAAAATCGAGAAATCGAGCGAGCGGCCTTTTTTTTTCTTCTTCTTCTTTTTCTCTCCTCATTTCCTCTTCCGAAGGAGCCGCAGGCACCCGCGTGCCTCGTGTGAACAAGCGGCGGGCATGCACGCGGCGCGCGGCCAGCCCGGGCTTCTGGAAGGTTCCTGTGAGGAGACGGGTGCTCTGCCTCGCGGCCCTGCTGCCCGTCCTGCCGCGAGCTTTGCGCTTTGAGTCCCTGTGGAGGTGAATGCCCCTTTATTTTTATTGCTTGTTTTATTTTTAAGCAGGTCTACAGGCATTAATTACCCCATGACTGACGGCGCTTTAAAAAGCGGTCGGAGATAGCAGTAATAGTTCAGGGTTTTATTTTCATGTGCCCTGTTGAGAGCGTACGACCAATCTCAACAGAAGAGTCGAAACATTGCAATATATGCAATGTGCCTACATCGGTAAATATTTAGTGTTTTACACTGTTTTTCCATCTACGCTGTTTTTGTTTTGTTGTTTTTTTTCCCCTCCCCCCCTTTTTTTTCTCCCTCCCCAGCTTCCTCTTCCCCTCTTTCTTTTCTCTCCTCTCCTGTGATATGAAGATCAGAGTTTTGAGACAGAAACAGTATACATGTACTTGATAGGTCAGTGGTTGCAGTACAGGTAATAACTCTATAGAGGGAGATGCCCTTGGTGGTGTGATAGAGCCAACGGTTAGACACGGGAATACTACCACAGTATTTGGATAGGCTAACTCATTCAGGCTATAACAATTCTTATGTTATTAGCTATCAGCTAGCCTGTTTTACTGAGTGTATGTTGGTTGCAGTTTATAATCTCAGGAGTTTATTAGTGATATTGAACTCAGAAATAGTCCTCTCTCTTTCCTGCTTCTTCTGCACTAGATTTATTGTGTGTCTGCAATACCAGTCAATATGCAGGGGACTTTTTATAAAGTTTCAGAGCACTATGGCAACAAATTTAAAATCAGCGGTGAGGAACTAATGAACAATTACATGACTTGAAAGAAGTGCTAATTAAAACATTTTTAAGAGGTGAGTTTTCAATTGGAGGAAAACATTAGCCAGAGACTTACTGCCCAAGCTAGGAATGCAAAAAAGACTGGTTGCACAAGACATAAATTTTTCATTTTCTCTTTAGGTAAGTCAGGTAACTCGTTATTTCTGTGCCTTGTGTCTGGCAAAGCTCAGTTCTGCTGAGCATTAAGACAGAGATCTGGGTTCGGTGCTAGTTTACGCATATGTGAAAAAGTCTCACAGGGGACAAGGTTGTGCTGAGGGCAGAGTTCACCATGTAGAAAATCCAAGTGAGCCCCTTCCATCCCGGGGGGGCGGTAATGGAGCTCATGAATAACCGTAAAGCAGCCTCGCACCTTGCTCCTGGCTCTTGTCCTGTCCTCCCAACTCCGTTTTAGATTCCAGCTGCAGAACCACTCCATCTGGGCTCAAAAAACAATATTAGTAAGTATTATTTAGTAGTATTGCTGCAAAATATATTAGTCTAATGTGCAAATATAAACAGATTATACAATTGTGTGCATACAGATGAGAATTGCTTAGAATAATTATAGTAGCTATTTAAGTTGGATAAAATTTAAGCAGCATTTAAACACGAATGTTTAAATATTTTCATAGATGACTCAGTTGGAAGCATATTTTGTACAACTTTTGATAAGTTTTTGTTTGGCGTGAACTCTTTTGTTTGCTTTATCTTCCAAAGAAATGTCAAGTTGACATTAAAGGAGAAAACTGGGAAAGTGTTCTGGATAAAAGGAGCGTTTTGTCTTAGTGAGGTCCATGCATTTATGCATTGTGAACACAAATTGGTACATGAATATATATTTGGCAGATGTATGCTTTGTGAAAGCCAAAGGCTAGCTTTTCCCTGGTTGCTGTGTCACGTAAATATGGTACTTGATAAACTTTGCCATTGTTTGTTTCTGTTTGAAAATTGGGTTTATTGGGTGCAGTCCGTGGTGAAATTCCTATGTGTTAGCAGCTCATGTGAAAAGCTTTGCAAAGGAAGTTGTTCGTGGTACAGCATAGTTAATTAGGTTGGTTTTAAAAAATGACACTTTTTTTTTTTTTTTTTTCCTCCTATCTGTTTACACCTGCTGTGACCCGGAGCACACTTTCAAGGTCATATTCAGTGGAAGTGCATAGAGTGTGAGCTTGCCTAAGTATTTTGTTCAGAGCAGTAGTTTGGGTTTGTTTGTTTGTTTTGTTTTTTAAAGCAAATCCCAGGATGTAAAGTTTTTGTGTGTGTTGGTTTGGAATACAAAATATTTCTGTCCATGCAAAATAGGTTCCTTTCAGGGGAGATTAAACTGGAAGACAAACTCCAGTGTACACCGAATGTCCTTCAGACCCTAACTATAAAGAC